GAATTTCTATTAGCATCCAGCATTGACTTAGCTCTACTTCCACATGACTGAGGGACACCCAGCCCTCTACCTTCCTTCTCCCAGTGTCTCCTAGTGGAAATCTCCCTGGGACTTTGAAGCTTTATCTTTATTAACCATAGTTTAGGATTTTATGCCGAGGAGACGTTAGTAGGGATTCAGTGAATATCACGTGTGTAGCCTTGTTATTTTATACTCTTCTAGAAAATGGAGGCTAAAAGGGTTCAAAGGCTTCTACATTACATTGTGAATAGACCAGCACCTTTGTTCTAAAAATGAATACACGACTTAAAAATAAATAATTAAGTGGGTTCAAACCAGAAGCTTACATTGCTTTTGAGGATATGCACATTTGATCAGCTGTTGAAAGAGTTGCAGTTCAGCTGTACTGAGCTAAGATTTAGTGACAGGGCACCCGGGGATCAGACTCAAAGGCAGAACCTTAGCCTTTTCCTTATAACAAGAAATGACTATCAGACTAGATGGCATGGAGACATAACACACAGTACCAAAAGGCGTGAATGCTTTTCAGCAGGGTGGAAGACTGGTATGGCCAATCTTTAGGCTAAGATTCAATGAAGAACAGTAAGAACAATTGTTAAGTTCATTCTTACTTGGCAAAGCATGTCAGTTTATGCTTATCTTTAACTTGTGATTATTGAAGATAATAAAATTTATATGTGCACCTAAAATTAAGCAATGACTTTACTGTTTTGTTGAAAGGTGTCCATGGTATGCTAGGAAGAAAGCAGTTTGGCCTGCCATGGCCAGGAGAGGCTGCTTTTATATAAGTCTGCATGACAAGGTAAAAAACAGGCAAAACTTTTTGAAGAAGATTTCCTCATCCTCACTTCCCACTCCATATCCTCCCACCTTCCTAAATTACCCTTTTTACATCTCAATTGATGGAAAGACAAAGAAACCACTGTAACTGAGCAGAGCTGCAAAGTGAGGTAAAAATTGCAGGGGGCAAGACTGATAAAAGCAAGTCTGGTCCAGTCTGAATGTATGAGGCAAAAGCAGCAAAAGAAAGCTAAAAATATACGTTGACAATGAAGGACAAAGAGTATTATAAGCATTATTGTTGCAGTCTGTTAAAGCATTTGCAGCAGGAAAAAATACAGGAAAAATTGAGAAGTTGAATAAATAAAAGAAAAAGGATAAAAAAATAGCGAAATTATTAATTTTTTCCCATAATTATTTTAAACAGTGGAGCACATGGTCTAGTATTCAGAGAGTTAGGCACTTGTACACATCTTTCTCATTGTTTCGAATGAAGCTCAAGCATATGATTAAAAGTCTTTGCTAGATAAGGCTGGAAAGCTCCTTGAACAGGAACCACATTCCCAGACATAGGTCCAGGTTCGACCATGTGTATGTGTGATGCTGTATTTGAAAATAGTATCTGCACATATCGCAGAGGGAATACTTAATGTGTTTGAAGCTGGCAGCATGCTTGAGCATCCAGTTAGATTGTGGTGAGAGAGAGAAGGTAAAAGTGGTAAAGGAGTAAGAAAATTCTTGTGAAAGGTTTAGGCATTTCTCCAGATTGCTGGTATCCTGTAGTGTACTTACTGTTAATGCTGTAACTTTTTGCATAGACCCCTAAGAGCAGAATTCTGCTCACATATCTGATATGACTTTGAAATTCAGACTTTGCCATTTCCAGGCCAGGTGATGTTTTAAAGACAATAACTGGTTTGAATGAGAAGGAATAGAATTAATAGAATTATTTTTATTTCTTTCTCTGAGAGAAGACAGGAGATAGACAGATACTTTGACAGCAGGTAAGAAGCCCTACACTCTAGGTTTTTAGGGAACTAAAACCTAAGCTTAAGGAAAAAGTCTTAATTTAAAAATTAACTAAATACTAACTTATTTGCTGTTTTTTAAGAAATATAGTGAGAATATGTTTCGGTTTAGTAAATTAACATGTTAAAAGGAATAACTATTTTGGAGACAGAAATATTAACTTATGGACGTCTTGCTATAAGGATTAAATACTGTACTTTGACTATTGCCATGGCCCTATAGAAAATAATGGAAAATTTAGGAAAATATTAGAAGTATGCATTAGAAAAATTAATTTTTTTTCCTAAATTAACCTTATTTGAAATTGAAGAAACTCAGTTTTTTTTTACTTCTGTCTTTCCTTGGATTTCTGTAAAAGCACAACCTTTTAGACACCATACATTTTCAGCTTCTAAATTATTTTTAATTTTCATTTGTTTATACACTTTATATCATTATACACTCAGTCTGGATATATATGGCAAATCTGAAATAAAGAAGGTGTTCATGACTTTCTTGATCTTACACTGCCATTTGGACACTGTTCAAGTTTAGCTGAATATTAAAACCTTAGGAGGATTATCCAGCTGATATCAGTAGATCAGTGGTTTTCAACCTGTACTCTGCCATCTGGGAATCTCTGGATTATTCCTGTGCAGTCTGTAAAAATCGACTAGAATCCCAGCTGACT